ATCACCATCTGCAGTGATTTTGGAGCCCAAAAAAATAAAGTCTCTCACTGTTTCCACTGTTTCCCCATCTATTTGCCATGAAGTGATAGGACCAGATGCCATGATCTTAGTTTTCTGAATGTTGAGTTTTAAGCCAGCTTTTTCACTCTCCTCTTTCACTTTCATCAAGAGGCTCTTTAGTTCCTCTTCGCTTTCTGCCATAAGGGTGGTGTCATCTGCATATCTGAGGTTACTGATATTCTCCTGGCAATCTTGATTCCAGCTTGCACTTCATCCAGTCTGGCATATCACATGACGTACTCTGTATATAAGTTAAATAAGCAAAGTGACAATATACAGCCTTGGCGTACTCCTTTCCCAATTTGGACCAATCCGCTGTTCCATGTCCGGCTCTAACTGCTGTTTCTTGACCTGCATACAGATTTCTCAGGAGGCAAGTAAGGTGTTCTGGTATTCCCATCTCTTGAAGAATTTTCCAGTTTGTTGTGATCCACACAGTCAAAGGCTTTACCATAGTGAAGCAGAAATAGATGCTTTCCTGGAATTCTCTTGCTTTTTCTACGATCCAAATTATTCCTTGATTTATAGAGCAATAAGATTATTAGTTGGAATTCTCTTGCTTGGATCATAGAAAAAGCAAGAGAATTCCAACTAATATTCTTACTGCTCTAAAAATCAAGGGGTAACCTAGATCCGTGGTTTTCCATCCCCACCCAGGACACCACAATTATAAGGTACTTCAAAGTTTGATCTGTTCTAGAAAGATGTATGAAGTGCATAACTTGCCTCTATTATTCTCCTCCTGATATCATGAACTGCACATAAACCCCAATATTCTCACACACACAGCACTTTATCACTTTATGCTCTGAGCACTTGGTAACCTGAATTTACCACATGAAGGAAGTCTTTACCTGAAATGTCACAGTAGACAGTCTGCTGGTAGAGCTTGGCTTCCCGGGGATTAAAGTACACAGTGATTTCAGCTGATGAATTGGGCCAGACATCGCCTTCCTAAAAACATGAAAGAATAATTAAAAAACAATATTATGAAGGGAAGACACTGCTTTTAAATGCTGTTATTATAACTCTAGGAAATTTGAAGGAAATATTTTGACAAAAAATAAAAGAAAGCACAACTTTACCCAATAGATAGGAAATTTCTACTACTTGTTAAGAGGTGATACAAGCTGGAAAAAAGCTTCAAAGATCATTTCAGTGAGTAAACGGATTCATAATTAGTTACTAAAGGAAGCTAGAGTACTTAGGGCATTTTCTAAAGTTTGTAGATTCAACTAACATTCATTGTATGCCAATGCGTGTACAGCATTGGGCTTCAGAGATTAAGAAAGGCATGGTCTAAGATTGCATGGAGCACATCTCTTAGAGGGATGGTAAAAATGTACACAGATATCTTAAAATATATGTGATAAGTGCTATCTGTGCTTTACCTACATAAGATCCAGATATTGCTTTTCACACGCAAAGAAGTATCTAATTCACTTGATGGAGAAACCACATTCCGAACCTTTGAGTGACAGCATAAGGAAATACTCTTATTTTGTGAAAATAGCAATGGTCTGAGGCAGAACGACAGCCAAATCGAACTCTGGTTCTGATCCTGTGTGATATTATTTCTCATTTTAACTCAAACTACTCAAAAGTTGTAATAAGAAAACTGAGGTTTGAAACTGTAATGCAACATACAACAATATCAGAATCCCCTTGAGATACCCTTTGAAAAATATTTTCTACAAACCATGTAACCTCTCAGGGTTGTAAAAGGACATGTTATAGGACCTGCCTCAAAGGGTTTCCTAAGTTCTGATGAGGGATCATGAGGTCAAATGCTTTTGACCCACATTTAATACACAGCAGGAACTCGGCAACAGCTTGCTATGATTGATGTTATTCTTTTGCCACTTAGAATGACTAAGATGAAAATGTCAAAAAATAGGGAATAAAATGTGTTTTTTCCCTATAGTTTTTATAAATAAGGCCAAGTAGAGTATCAGTGATAAGCTGATACATCCAAAAATGTATAAATAGTCCTACCAACTAAATAAAAAACTAAGGAAGGTGATGATAAATAATTGGGATCCAGTTTCAGACAATCCCACATGCATGTTCTAGTTCCATTTTGACTTGACATGAACACAGTGCTGGAATAAAGAATTAGGCAGACACGAAAGTGGTTTACAATGCAGCTATCAAACAAGAGGGCAAGGAAGAGAAAACTAGAGTCAATTTGGGTTTGTTTATGAAGGTTACTGTCTGGTGAGTGTGTTTCTCAGGCTGTATCCCTCTGCTTCAGGAGAATAAAGGGCACAGAGGTTCCAAGAAGGAGCAGTGAGGGCTGTGGGGGTTACGTGGGTCCTGGGAGCTCTCACATCCTTTCAGCCCACTAGAATGAAGGCTCCGTGAGGGTGGGTGCTATTCTATCTCCAGCACCTAAACCAGAGGTGACTCATAGTAAGTGTTCAACATATTTATTGAATTGGTTGTATCCATTCAGTTTGCACAATGTGTAGTTATTGACAGTTGCCTATTCATCTTTGCAACCTATTTCTGCTATCTTCTTCTCAACTGGAACCCAAAAGTCATACAGTCTTAGATCTGACAGGGACTTCTGAGATCATGCAGGGAATAGGGAAGTCCTAAGCACTTTCACTTATTTGGGCATCTCACTGTAGCCCTTTTCTAAACTTGTAGCTGGTATCTGCTCTCTTCTGATAAATAGTGAATACCTGGCCCACTTTGATTTGTGGGGATTCTGGTGATATGGAGTGCTGGGAATGTTTGTGGCTAAAATGAGCAGAGAGGCCAAGCAGAAAAGGTGGTTCATCCATTCTGTGGTATATCAGTGGGTAGTTCATCTTAGAATGAAGATCTGGGCTTATTCCTAGCCCACAAGACAAATGTATTCCCCTGGAGGGATCAGGCTCTGTTTTGTTTAGAAGTATATAATGGACACAGCTAACCTGTTCCCATTCAAACTGCTTGACCACAGGGGCCATCTTGGATCCCTAGAAAATTTCTACTAGAAAAGCCTCACCAAAATGGTAGGAAATGCCCCAAAAAGGATATGCTGGAAGACAGATAAGCTCAGTACCTGTGGATACATTCAAGTCTTATGGTTTGGGCTGGTCCAAACCACTTTCAAAAACATTATTCAAACAAGAAAATTCAGGGCCCATGTGCACACAAGAAGGCAATACGCTTAAGTATTATCCCAGAGGCACTTTTGCACACCCCATCTTCAAAGAAGTCTGATTATCAGACTGTGCTTAGTCACTCAGTCATGTCTGACTCTTTGCAACCCCATGGACTATAGTCTGCCAGGCTTCTCTGTCCATGGGGATTCTCCAGGCAAGAATACTGGCGTGGGCTGCCATGCCTTCCTCCAACTGGTGAGTTGGGAAAAGGTGGGACAGACATGCTCCAGAGAGGCGATCAGAATCTCCCAGAGGAAGGAGCAGTGACCTCTGGATGTGATCCAGGAGCAGACCATCTGATATGGATGGCCTGGAGGCTGAGAAACCCTTCTGCGTGGTGAGGGAAGACCAACATGAGAGAATCTGAGCCCGCTGGGTGTTCACACGGGGCGAATGCAACTGTGGGTACCGTGCTTTCTTACCCTGGGCTGCAGTGGTTTTGTTGTGTCTATGACATCTGCTAGTAACTTACAGCTTTTACTGAGCCCCAGGACATAATTCAAGGACAAATCCGATTCTAAAGCCTCTCCTGGGCTTGTAGCAGCTAATGTGCATTAAGAGTGCTGAGTGTATCTGTAAAAACAGAAGTGTGGTCATTCAGTTTCCTGTCACAGAGGGATGCTTCTCACATAAGGTCATTTCAAGGAGTTAGGAACACGTAGAAGGACACTTTTATTTTTCAGTTGGAATGAAAATAAAAGTTAAAGAACTTAATTTTTTTTTTTTTTACAGCAAAAACTCACTGCAGCATTTCCTACCAAATCAGAGTGCAAATACCAGAAACAGGTCATCAGCCTAAGATGAGCCCATTTTTACTTATGTATCTTTGATATACTTCATATTACTTTTCAGACATTTCTGAAGTTAACTACCATGTCATTTATGTCATCTCTGAAAAGAATTTTTCTTTCTTTATTGCTCAGTTCTAAAGTTTCTTTCTGAGAGCCAAAACATTCAGAATGTTCCCCGCTGGTTCTGACATCAGTATCATTTCCTCCCAGGCCTGTGAAACCAGCCTCATCACGCAGAAGCCCCTGCTGTTCTTCCTTTGCCTTCCACAAATGACTCCTTTCCCATCACTGTCCATTTTCCTGCTCCAAATGAGAGACTGAGAATGTAGAATATAATCTGCAGAAGCCCATTATCTTGTTTGTTGAAAATAATTGGCAAAATGACCTTCAGTTTTACTGTAATGATCTTCCTTCTTGGTCTTAATCTTTTGTTTTCCCCTCAGAACCACCACGACATTTCACTTATCAATCAAGTGACCTGCTGGAAGAAATCAACTTTGAATTTTCAAGTTTAAAGTTAATTTGCTATGTTTGTGTTTTGGGCCCAAATATTAAATATTTCTGGAAATGGAACTACTGGGACAAGAACAACCAAGTGTCTTGACAGGGACAGTTTGGAGACGTTTTGAAAGCTGTTTATGAACATACAGTCACTGGTTCATGATAAGCAATTAATATGATCATGAGAAGGGTATCCCATTAAAATGATCTCCTTAAAAAATGATATTGGCAATGATTAAATAGGGCCTTTAAAAATTCTCTACGATGTCTCTATGATGACCTACAAGACCTTCTAGAACTTACACCAAAAAAAGATGCCCTTTTCATCACAGGGGACTGGAATGCAAAAGTAGGAAGTCAAGAGATACCTGGAGTTACAGGCAATTTGGCCTTGGAGTACAAAATGAAGCAGGGAAAAGGCTAACAGAGTTTTGCCAAGAGAACGCGTTGGTCACAGAAAACACCCTCTTCCAACAACACAAGAGATGACTCTACACATGGACGTTAACAGATGGTCAATACCAAAATCAGATTGATTCTATCCTTTGCAGCTGAAGAGGGAGAAGCTCTATACAGCCAGCAAAAACAAGACTGAGAGCTGACTGTGGCTCAGATCATAAGCTACTTATTGCTAAATTCAGACTTAAATTGAAGAAAGTAGGGAAAACCATTAGACCATTCAGGTATGACCTAAATCAAATCCCTTACAATTGTACAGTGGAAGTGACAAATAGATTCAACAGATTAGATCTGATAGACACAGTGCGTGAAGAACTATAGACAGAGGTTCATGACATTGTACAGAAGACAAGGAACAAGACCATTCCCAAGAAAAAGAAATGCAAAATGGCAAAATGGTTGTCTGAGGAGGCCTTACAAATAGCTGAGAAAAGAAGCCAAAGACAAAGAAGAAAAGGAAAGATACCCATCTGAATGCAGAGTTCCAAAAAATGGAAAAGAGAAATAAGAAAGCCTTCCTAGTGATCAATTAAAAGAAATAGAGGAAAACAAAATGGGAAAGACTAGAGATCTCTTCAAGAAAATTAGAGATACCAAGGGAATATTTCATGCAAGTTCAGTTCAGTTCAGTTGCTCAGTCGAGTCCAACTCTTTGCAACCTCATGGACTGCAGCATGCCAGGCTTCCCTGTCCATCACCAACTCCTGGAGTCTGCTCGAATTCATGTTCATCGAGTCAGTGATGCCAACCATCTCATCCTCTGTCGTCCTCTTCTCCTGCCTTCAATATTGCCCAGCATCATGGTCTTTTCCAATGAGTCACTCTTGGCATCAGGTGGTCAAAGTATTGCAACTTCAGCATCAGTCCTTCCAGTGAATATTCAGAACTGATTTCTTTTAGGATGGATTGGTTGGATCTCCTTGCAGTCCGAGGGACTCTCAAGAGTCTTCTCCAACACCACAATTCAAAAGCATCAATTCTTCAGTGCTCAGTTTTCATTATGGTCCAGCTCTCACATCCATATATGACTACTGGAAAAACCATAGCT